TGGAAGCTCTCAGTGCTTCTTTGAGGGTAGTGCTAAGTCGATGCCTCAATCCCTTCCCTAATAAGGTTCTAACACTCCTGGGTTACAACACATATATCCCAGCTGCCAGAGGCCCTAGCAAACCAATATCTAGGCATAGCCCCTTCCTTCATGGGTGATGGATCATTCAAATTTCTCAGTCCACAGAAAGCCTTCTAAGCCTAACCAGGTCCCCCACCATCTTGTCATACAAAGGCTGCGCACAGTTCCAGTTTGTGCAGCCCTGTGTGGCAGTCCTATGTTTTGCTGCTTCACTATTAAGTCATAAATATTTCTGCCTTTCATCATTTTATTGTGCCCTACCATCTTCAGAATGTAATACATGTTAAAGTGCATCACTTACCTTATAATTCATAAAAATTAAGTGAAAAAATACATGTGATTTGCTTTATACACTACCCAGCACAGAATTATTTTTCTTCCTCACATAATTTTTTTATATATGAGGAATTCCTCTTCCGGAACCATGGAGAGCACAACTAGAAGAAAAATGGCCAAATTTTGGCTTTTAACTTTACTGTTTGGAAAAAATGTGGATTAGATTTATGCCATTCTTCAAAATAGCCCTTCCCCCACATCAAACTCACTTTCAATCAATAAAGCCTGTCTGATCTAGGGAGGAAAAATGATAATGAAGAAGAAAATGACACATTCTGTTGAGTGTCCATGACCATGTGATTTTTTCCTGTACCTCTCTTAGATTAAGTTTGGAAATACAAACTATTCCCTGCTTTCTGCTGGAATCTTGAAAAGTGGCCTCACAAAGTTTTACTTGCCTGTGGAATGAGAGTAGCAAGAGCCACATGTAGCTGAATCAAGTTTTCATAGCCTAGAAGTAATAGGAGTGAGAAAAAATTAGCTGTTTGCTCTAAAATGTTCAGGGGTTTGCATGAGAGTTTGAGGACCCTAGTCATAGTAAGGGTATATGAATGAAGGGTTTGTGTTAGACCAAATGACGGTACAGATGGGGATGCAGATATCTAAAAGGAAGACAGAATAGAATAGTGAAACTACCAATAATCTAATAATACTGCAATATTAGACATGGGCAAGGAAGAGACATTTCCCTTGTCATGATGCTACATCAGGCACTTGGCAGACAAGCTTACATTCCCTCAATACCCACATGTTCCTATATTTTGAGTGTGATTAGTAGGAGGTAGTTAGTTTAATCAAGAAATTATGATCAGAATTAATGTTTCATTTCTGGGTCACGGCAGTGAAAAGACCCTATTTTGAGGGTCTTTTTTTTTTTTTTTGCCAACCTTTTTTTCTCTGTTAAGATCTTTAAGGAGGTAATGTTTAGTGAGATGAGCCAAAATAACTAGTCTGTTCTCCTAAGGTATCACATAGAAAGAAGCTGTCAGAACTATAGGAGAAATAAATATTTTCTATGTTGAACCAGAGTTAATTTATCATCACTACAAAAACCTGTGAATCTTTAATATACTGTAAAATTCTTAATTGCTCAGTTCATATTTTCTCCTCTTGGGTAATCTAGAAATTTGGGAAAGACATTAAGTTTTGTTTCAGAAAAATATAAAATTTTATTTTTTGCACATTTAAATTATACTTTTTGAACATCTAAATTTAAATGTTCATGGATACCCATTTGTGAAGAAAAGCATAGCTGCCACATCATCATGGATATTATAAGGTAACTATAATATACCATAAGGGGAAAAGCATTTAATGGTGAAGCAAATTTATAGCTCTGACACTTTTTTGTTAGGTTTTGATCAACGTTTTTAATTTTTCTCAAATTTTGCTTTCCTCATTTATGGAAAGAAGAAAATAGCAGAAGTTAACTAATAAATAGTGAACATCAAATGAAAAAATGCATAGAGAAAGTCAGCATATGGAAAACATCCAGCCAATATTTGTTATTATTTTAATGTCCATGTCAGGGAGGTGGTGACTGGAAATCCACACAAGCATAATAGTTGCATACTTCTAATGGCAGGATGAGTCCCAAAGTTCCTGAATACATGGAAGAACATGACATAAAAATATGATGTTTAAGTTAACTGGAAGGTGATATTAAGATCCAATCTGTCTTTTGTGTATCTATGTGCCCTTTACAGTAGGAATCAGTGGGTGGCTAATAGAATATGTTTTTAAAGCTTGGAAGCTTTGTTTTCCTATTTGTCAAAGAGTCAGCAATCTTTGTATTATTTTGTAGAACTCCCACCTTATCTTGGAAAGATAAGGAAGTAGAAATAGGTCAAATAGTTTTCAAGAGGGGTATTTTTCTTTTAAAAACCTATGGGTAGCTTGCAAAAGCAGGTATGCCAATATTCACATGTCTCCTGTGTACCATTTGGTTTACAGTCTCCTGATTGCTATCTTGTGGTGAATTGTTCTGTTTATAGCTTTAAAATTGCTATCTGGGTGACAGTCTTCTGTTTCTAATCTTAAGATGGTTGTCTAGTGGCTTTGCTCCCCATGGTTTATCATGCAGCTTGATAATACTGTGGAGGGAAATACAATTAGCTAACTACGCACCTGCTCAGCCTACAGTTTTATGAGTATAGCTTGCAGTTTGATATATTTCTTGGGGCTTGTGTTGAAAGAGCTTGAAAAAGATTTTGTATGAAGTTTTTCATTATATAAATATGTTTAAATGTTTTATATAATGTATTCTTTTTCTATATTCTTTATAAAAATGTATATCTATATCCCCATGGGGCTTTTAAAATTAAAGAATTGTGAATTCAGGATCTTGGAGTGTATAGCAGAATAGAGTAGCTAGAGGCTGAATTTTGATATTCATTTTAGTCTTGAAGCTCTAATATATGTCACAGTCTCTGCCTGAGTCCCTCACCCCACCATTATTATTTTAAATAAAAATTGGCATTTTATCAGCATTATGTTTTGGATATGAAGTGTCCCCCTAAAGCTTATGGGTTAGACAATGCAGAAATGGTGAGGAGAGAAATGGTTAAATTCTGAGAGTCTTAACGTAAGAAGTGGATTAATCGACTAATATGAATTAACTGGGTAGTAACTGGGAAGGTGGGGTGTGACTTGAGGAAGTAGATCACTGAGTGTATGATTTTGTGGTTTATTTTTTGTCTCTGATGAATGGACCTCTAGCTGCTTCCTTGTTGCCACACACTGAGCTGCTTCCCTCCACTATGCCCCTCCACTATGATGTTCTCTATCACCTTGAGCCAAGACCTATGGAATTGGCTGACCATAGAATCAACCTCTGAAACCATGAAACAAAATAAATGTTTCCTCCTCTAAGTTGTTCTTCCCACTTCTTTTGTTCAAAGCAACATTAAACTGACTGAAACAATGAGAATCAGATTCTTTGCAGTGTTTTAGTTTCTAGTGACCATGTAACATATAATAAACCCCATAAGATATATCTATTTATTTGTAAATTAAGTATTTTATGCGAGGTTTCACCTATATTAACATTAATGTACACATTAATATTGCCAGAGATAAATGTAGTTTTCTGCTATATTCTCTGACATATTAAATCTACCTTTACCAGGAAGATTTATAAAACCATACTTAACCAGAAGGCTATTTACATCGTCATTATTTAAAAGCTTTTTATTTGTGGTTGTGTTGCATTTATCTTTCTTGAATGAAAACAACCTGATTCTTCATTATAGATAAGTTGCTCCCAGGTAGTTTGAGGAAGTAGAGTGAAGTGTTTAGTTGTATTATAAGAGCAGTTGTCAAGGATTTGAGGAAGATCACTGGTTGCCTTACTCAGAGTTAATGTGTTAGTCTAAAGTACACTCCTGTTAGAATGAGTTCCTCTTTATCTGAGAGAGAAAGAGAAGTGTTTAAGTAGAGGAAAGAACAATATTTGTGAAAGGATACAGCTTTGCAGGTAACACCTGTTAGTAATGTTTGCATGACTCTAGATTTATTATTTTATTTTCCTTATAGGGAGGTGCGGGAGTCTTCCAATAGTACTTATTTCAAAAAGGTATTGAAAGCAAAGTGATCCAATATATGCAGAACTTTTTTAATACATGGTAAAGGGCAGTGTAATTGGTCAGTATTACAATTGATATAAACTAACATGGTGCCACTGGAAATTTCAATTGTACCTTAAAGCATTAGTAACACAAGTTATTTTTCTATTTTAGTCTATCAATGGCTTAAAATGCAGAGTGCTCTGACATTATCTCACCCTGAACACTAAGATGACAATGATTTCAAATGAAAAGGTCAAAATATCTAAGGAAGAGTCTGTGGGCATGTCCATAAAAATAGTAGGAGGTGTTCTTAGCAAGATATTTAAAGTGCCATAACTGAACATGTTTAAGAGAATTTACTATGATATATTACATTGAAAATGTGTTTTTGTCCATTGACTCAGTTAAAACCATGTACAATCAAATGTAGTAATTTGAAAGAATTGCAGATTCTCTAGTGAGAAGTTATTAGAATCTTAAAATTATCAAACTTTGGGAGGAATCTTGTTCATGTCACCAATGCCTCTGAAATAATTCTCCTAAAGTTCCAGGGGCTTATCTTAATTGTTAGTCAAATGCTTGATTATTTAAGGTCTCCCTCCCTCTCTGGAAGAATGGTGTTCACATTTGATATTCTTTACAACGAAAGGTTTGAGAGGAACCATCATTTTCTAAATTGCAACCAGGAAGAAAAAAAATATTAATACTACTGGGATTTAATCTACAAAATATTCTATGATTTTTTTTTATTCCAAAGAAACAAACCAACCAAAATTAATTAAGCATGGTCTGCACAGATGAGTACTCTGCTCACATCGGTAGGCATATGTGTGGAATGGTGAAAGCATATGGAATGGATCACAGTCCAAACAACCAAAGGGCTTCAGGAATAATTAATGAGATTCATAAATATGGTAAAAAAAAAGCCATTTTTACATCTTTAGGTGATTAAATCCAGAACAAACCTTATTCTTCCCCAACCAGTTTTTCTTATAACAAATTTCTGACACAGAAGAGAACATTTGTTTCATATTTTATTGAATTTCATTTATATTAAATTAAAAATATATTTCTGACAGATTCATGTAACAAAAAGGCAGAACAGTTTTCAAATTGTTCAGCTGGGATGATCAGTACGGAATGAGGCAAAGCAGTTCGCATTCTATAATTGCCTTGAACAGGTATAATTCTTTCCCAAGAGCCAAAGGAGGATCCTTGAGAACTAACTGAAAAGCCTAATTACATAAATTTAAAATACTGTTTCTCCCTCATTCTTGAATAACAACAGAAATCAGGGGAAGGGCGGGGAAAGGGGTGAAAGGCTGGAGGAGAGGAGAGAATAAGGGAAATTATACTAAAAATATACCTAACATTAAAAAAGTTAGTATGTGTTAAGTGCATAATCCTTCATAGATAAAATAGAAAAAAAATTAAAATAACATTACACCACACACAATTGGCATATCCTATTGTGTAAGCGAGTGCAGAGGTTGGACACGTCACAATAGTGCTGAACACAGAATCACGAGTAATGTCAAAATGATAACTTCCAACCAAAAAAAGAAACAATCACAAGCCAATTACTTATATACAAATCAACCCTAAAGACAATTATGTTCCATATAAAGATGTTCACAAAAGAAAATCAAAGCAACATTATCCTTATTTACAAATGCAACTAGCCATGTCTTTAACAAGCTATAAAAATACTATTCACATTTTCAAACATACAGTAGTATTTTTTGTTTGTTTATTTCAAAAAGGCAGCTAACTTTGAACGCTGGGATTTAAATGAAACATTGATGGCTTACCAGCAAGTTATTTTTGTACCCCTGTCCTTTGAAGATACTTCAACAGGAGAGAGGACTTGTTTTCTTTTACAAGTTAAGAAAATAAGGACGTGAACACAACTCTGCCTTTCGGTAAAGTGTCTCCCTTTATCACCCAAACTGACCTTAGTCAACTACTTTGATGCGTGCATGAGATGAGAATTTGAGAGAAGATTTCACGTGGCTTATTGTTTTGTGCTATGAGTCGTGTGACACGTTCATCTCATTTTCATTACATCTTAACATCTTGTTCCTATGCTCAAGAAACAGATGAACGACTAGTCAAACAGTGAGAAAATGCATTTTCAACATGCAGTGGTGCAATCCCTGGTGCTCACAATATGAGATGTAGACACACCAGCCAGTGAGATGCACATTCAAAGTTAGCTGCCCTCGCACAGCTGCTCAGTATAATAATCGACCCATTTAACAGCAGTACCAGTTTATGCTACATATTTCAAAGTACCTTACTTTAAGAGAACAGCTTACATATCTACACTTAGAAAATAACTTTCGTAGTTGATTACTGTAGTAATTCCAAAAGGGTTCTTGGAGTGCTATGGTTGTAGTCCCCTCACTCCCCCCTCCCAGCCCCTGAGAGATCCAGAAATATACAGGAAAACGACTCACACATTAAGGGGAAAGGTACAACCTCTCCATTAACTGAAAACTCCAGAAATGATACTTGAAAACCAGGTTTATGTCAATACATAGAAGGTCTGATTTGCTTTTCTTCAAAAGGGCTATAGGCCTGGGGAAAACATATACACGTTAGGGACAAAAATAGCAGAAAAGGAAAAGTGGCTTGGACAAGAAGACTATAGCCTACGGGTAAGAAACTTTGTTTTCCTATGTTTGTATATTTGGACAAATATAACCAGTTCTCATGATACAGGGACAACTTGCTAGGGCATTACAGGAAAAATGTCCTTAAAGAGCAAAAGTAGAGAAAGAATGGTGTTCTATCAGAAAACATGGATTTCCATTACAGTGAAATTGCACTCGTTATAAACTGGTTAGATGGGTGAACGGTCTGAAGAAAAGTCACAGGAGGTTCTCAAAGTTGCTAAGCCTTTACCTTTATGATAATAAGACTCCTCATTTGGAAAACAAATTACAGCAGCTATAAAATATTTGCAATTAGAAATAAAATAAGATGAATAAAGTAAATAAGTTAATTTTTTAGCAAAATCACTTCTCAGTTACACATATAGATTTACAGAAAGATTATATCTAAGACCTAGAAGAACATGTGCATGTATGTGAATTTTGAGATGCATGTTGGGGCTGATTTCATCTCAAATTCAAGAACACAGGAAGAGAATTAATCTTCATGGAAAAACAATTTTAATATTCTAAAGTATTCTCTGTGCAATAATCTATTTGAAAATAATTTAAATAGTGTCCAAATTGGTAACATATTTTATGGAAAAAATCAGGCATCTGAGGATAAAGGCTACGTCAGTATTTAGCAGAGCAGGGTGTTGGACCCCAGAGATCCACTATGGCTTAAGAGAGGGTCAGCATCCTAATGAGCCACTTTGAACTAGGTGGTAGAAAGTGAAGACAATAGGGGCAGCTGTGTCAATGAGGGGGGGAAAAAAGTAAGGTGCTATTTTCCTCTAAAGTTCAGACAGAAATAAAATTTTCTGTGATTCCTAACAAGATAATCATATACTTGCAAAGCTGACTGTCAAAGAGTGTTTTCCATGTGAATGCCCCCATGAAATTGGGGTTTGGAGCCTTTTCAACACATGACTCTAGAAGCTTTCTCTTCTTGCCCAAAATATCACCTGGCTAGGAATGAGATGAGGCAGCAGTTTGGAAAAGTGACATATCCTATTATTTTGCCTCTCTACAAAGTCAGTGGGACTTGAACAGCGTGTGGAATTTCTACTATTTTACAGAATCCTTTCTTCTAATGAATTGAACAAAGCAGCCCATAGTGTTAAAAGAAATTAACCCACACAAAGTCAAGGGCTCCTGGCCCCACAGGATACCCACAACAGCTTTGTGTTTACAACTGCGGAGAAAACTCCTTTTGTAAAAGCATCTCCAGAATCAGGAAAAAAAAAAAAAGGTATTAATTCTACCCAAAAGTATACAAGCTGACCCCACTGTAGTAATAGTGAGAATAAGGTCTTTACTGATAGTGATCTCCTAAAATTATACGTTATCTACTTCCACACATTGTTACTTGTTCTTGAGCAAATAACAAGCAGGCACCAGTGTGCCTTTATGTGCCTAGACAGGTATAAGGCTGTCCTTCACCTGACACACAACAAAGTCCATGAACGCAGGCAGATCGGGATGTTCTGCCCACAGTGCATACAATTGAAGTTGATTTATCTGTCTTTTTAACAGCTAAAAAGTTATACCTGAATTTTTCATTTGCCCCATACCAAATCATCATTCTAAAATCTAGAGTCCAAAAGGATGACAATATAGTCATTTAAAATGTTTGGTTTAACATGTGTTTGTCAGAAAAAAAAAATGTTAACTAATTCCGTGTTGGTTTTGGAGGCTAAAAGGCATGTTGAGAAAACAAAGGATATGTCACAATTTAAATACATTTTGTTTGCTTTCTAAATGACAGCACTCTTTTTCGCTCTCTTTTTCTTTTTTTAATCTCTGCATAAGGTAATAGAATATTTTCATCTTCTTTACTTCATTTTGAAGACTTCTTAAAATCTCATGCAACATATTTACCTACTAAATGCTACAAGGTGGTATTTGCAAAACAAAATGAAAAACATAAAATAAATTTCTCTTTAGGCTTAATACATTTGAAAAGTGATAAAGAAATAAGAAAACTAGAAACAATTTCACTGTAGTGCTTTAAACAGTTTCCAAATTTGGAACCATAGATGTCTACTCTCAGCTAAACCCCACAAGTAACAATTTAAATGGCAAACTTAATTTTACATTCTACATTTTCATATCCTGAATTTTATTTAGTTACATTATACCTTATGGTTAGTTTTCTATTTGATTTAATTAGTAATATTAAAACTGCTTAACATCAGATAACAACCTAACTAAATCTACATCTTACAGCATTATCGTGATTCTGTCCAGTTATATACATGCTTTCATGATCCCCTTTTCTATTACCTTAGGAACTACATAGACTAGTTAAATAATTAACAACTACAGGTGGGTGAATAATTCAAGTTTTTAAATAAAGGTTAGATAGCTCTAAAAAAAATTTGTATTTACATCCTTCCCTGTCAGGCGTAAATGATGTTAATTTTCTTTTGCTTTTTGACACTTCACAAAGTGCACTAATCATCCTTCCAAGTTCATCTAGCAGCAGAGCCTCAAAGCACTTTTTCTATCTTTCCCTAGCATTGGAGATGAGCACCATCCTCGTGCCACATCAATCTTTGACACTGACACACCAGGAAGAACTTCAATGTACACTACTAGGTCCATTCCTCCTGATATACAAAGCTAAGTTTCTTAGTTTTTAATAGAGTTTAAATATTGCTTTGTTTTTCATGTTATTTGAGAATGATTCTGAAGAAAACACTCTGATCCTGTGCTACTAATAATATTCAGAAAACCAACAGCTGCTAGGTCATCAAAGTACCTCTGTGCCACACATGCCTTGTGATTCTGGATTTACTCAGGTTTAGAAGACACCTTTTCGTACCTGTTTAAGAACTAATTCTTTAAACAACAATTTATAAGGTTTTCCTGTGTCTTAAAATAGGATTCTACAAGATAGGCTCAATTGACAAAATCTGGCAATTTAAAAAAAACAGTCAGTATAGTTTTAATATTAATTTTCTCAAATTTACACAATAGATTCTGCATATTTCCATTGATACCACTGGCCTCTGGTTTCTGATATTCCAAAGCAATTTGGAAGCTTTAACTTGTGTTTTAAGATTTCACTCTACTGGGTTAAAATGTTATTTTTACTCCTTCTTATATACTGTTAAATATGTCTTCCTAGGGGACAAAAATAAAACAAAAATGAAAGCCCCAAACAATGGAAATCAAGCATATGAGACAAATCATTCAAAAGAAACGTTAAGTACTTTAGGCCAGTTTGAATTGTACTTACATCAATCTCTAGTGATTACAGGGAAATTACATAAACTGTAAGTCTTATGTTTTAAGAGAAAGGAGACTGTATATGCTAAGTATATATCTATTACCTTAACAGTTAAAAAAAGATTATTATTTTTCCTTCTTCAAATTAGGTGTTCCTGCTTCCCATTCATATGGCAAAAGTCATATGAATATTGTAAATGAAAAGGTCAAGTAGTGCTGTCAATGATGACTTGATACAGATTTATCTAGAAAGAGGGGTTTATATTCAATTCTCATGGGTACAAAGATGAAGTGCCCTTTTCCTAGAAATTTCTCTGAATGGAGGAGAAGAGTTTTGAGATGGTAGGTTGTGGTCCTGAGTCAATCTGTGTTTTCATCCTTGAGAAAGTGATGAACTTCACTGGAAAGAACCTCACTAATTTTCCTTCTCCTTAACCTCACTCTTTCAGCTTGCCTGACTCCTGAGAACTTGAGACCAACCCCAGCACCTCTAAGGGATTTCACCAAAGATCATTCATCATTGGCTATTGTTTTAATGGTGAAGTTGGAATCCAGATAGACCAATGAGCCAGTGAGGCTATATCCTATTAGACCATGTTTGGAGGATATGGTAGAAATTATCCTATTTGCCAATTTCAGTAACTTGAAGGATGTTTCATTCATGTTCCAAATTAGTTTACAGGACTTTTTTACTTAAAAAATCTGATTTTATGGATGCTACTCACAAAATAATCCATGCAATCTGAGTCTTTGAACTCATGGAGAAATTAAAATTTCATTCTAAATAAGTCTTGACTGCAAAATTTTGAAGTCAGGGAGGATATTCTATTTATCTCTATGTTCCCCACATAACATAGTGCCTTTAGTAGACTCTAAATCAATATCTGTTGAATAAATAGGTTTTGGATGAATAGATTTGTTTTTCAAATTAGGTAGAAACAGATTTACTTGGAATTTTCCCCCTCTAATCTTTCTCTGCTTTACCAATGGACATTTTTAGTTTAACTGATTATCTTTAGGTTATTGAATTTCCTTTGCTCCCAATTCTTAAACATTAGAAAGAAGTAATTTTTTAAATTATAAATGATTTTTGGGCAAAACAGAAAACATATATATATATATATATACACACACACACATATACATATATACGTGTATGTATAGATATACATATATATGTATATGTATATAATTTTCCTATTAATGTGAGCCCCTGCTTTACTAGAAACTCAGCTGTCATTTGTTTTCATCACTCATCTTAACTCAGTAGATGTTCTTTTAAAATGAAAAGTCACAGATGGTTATACATCTCGGAGCAGTGTGTGCAGAAAAAGAGTTCTTAAGTCGAAATGTCAAAAGATTCATGTGTTAGAGAATAAAATGATTGCATGAGAAGAATTTTCACATTTATTTACAAATTTTGACCCAAGGACCTACCTACAAGCTATGAATATTTGTTTTTTTCTTCATGTTATACCAATCTATGCAAAGAGTTACCTTCTATTCAATATAAAGAGAGTCTCCTACTAGAAATTCCATGGAATTCAAACCAATCCTTTACTTGCATTCCTTCATATGGAATATTCAAACTGAACAAATTTCCTTATGTAGCAAACATGATATCCTATGGAGCTAATGTGCTCGCTGTGTCACTGTAATCCCTGGATTTTGTTCCAAAATCCTAATTTGCTTCATTTGGCATTTCCACAGTCTGTCTTTATCTTAGCTCTTAAAGAAAAAACGTACTTAAATTAGTTAATTTGCTGGTTGCTTCCATATTGCTTCATTCAAAATCCAAAATGGAGTTCAGAAAAATAACAAATAAATTTATAGCTTAAGTGCAAACTACATTTCTGAATATCTTCCAAGTAGACATACCCATCCAGTGTGTTTCTTCCAGTTCATGGATTCCCCCATTGGACCACCCCTGAATGTATCAGTAGTTTTCTTGAACCACATAGAACGATCTCCTTGATTCCTTCTATTCTTAAGATTATCAACTGCCTATCAAGTACTGCCATTTATGGAAGAGAAGAAAATGTTGAAGAATGTAAAGGGTGGGGGAGAATATATTCAATAGTGCAAAACATGAATGCTAGAGTTGGTGCAGAATTTAACTAGGGTCTTGACCTTCCCTTCTAATTTTAAAGACTGATTTTTTTTAAATAGTGCCCATTTCATCATATTAAAATATTTTAAAAATGATATAAAGAAGCTTTGATGGAAATATTCTTGCAAGTAGAAATTAAAGCCCCAAATAGAAAAGTAACCAATACAAAGACATAAGCCAAAGCAAAAAAAGAAGAAGTTAGAGAAGGAAAAGAGGAGGAGAAGAAAAATAAATCAGAAAAGGCTTCCAAACAAAATTACTATATATGAAGTTGGTGAAGATTTAAAAATTATGAAAGCTGGGATTTTCATTCTTCCTTGCCAGGATAGAAACTATTGAGGAAAAAATTGGATTCTGAATCTCACTTAGTCTCATGTTACTGAAATGATTATCCTTTTGTTCTAATGGAAATTTAATGATTCCCAGGGATGCTGAATATGGTCATCAATTACTACAGGAAGGAACAGATAGTGTGGGTGGTTCAACCATCAGCAATTAAAAAAAAAAAGGAAAGAAGAAAGAAGAAAGGAACAGAGGGAGGAAGGGAGGGAAAGGGAGAGAGAGAGCTAGTTTGACAGCAGGCAGCATTGCCTTATATTTTCTGGTCCATCTCCAGCTGTTCACTTTCCTAACCAACCCATTCAGAGAGATGAAGAAACAGTGTGGTTCCTCCTGTCTTTCTCTTTCAGTCCTTCCTTCTTATGCTCAAGTTAGATAAGCGAGTAACTATCATTGCGTCTCTATGTCTTCCCCTGGGAAGTGTCAAAACTACTGGCCTTGGGGGGGTAGAAGGAAGACCACCAGAGAAAGAGAGGGGGTGGGGAAATTGGAGCGGGCGTGTCTCTCCACCTTAGAACCAGGGCTGAGCTTACACCACAGTATTCCGGTGTCTGTAGGGTGGAGGAGGCAGCACAGTGCCTGGCTTCAGCGAGAACTCAGAGAGGTATTCAGGATTCTCTGCCACGATAGGCCGGATCCGTCCATTCTGTTTATAAAAATATTTTGTGCTGTACTCCTGCAGGTAGTCTGGGTGCTGTAGGGTGCTCCTTGGGGGCAGGCTGTGGTTCCAGTAGTCAGGGTTGTCAAACGCTTTCCTGGCCTTCTCTGGCACAGACAGAACGTTGTTCTTCAGGTATTCAGCATTCCCCAAGGTGTTGGCAAAGGTGTTAAGGTACAGAGGCTCGTTCACATACTCATCCTCTGCCTTGGGTGGGCCACTGGAAGCATTGTGATACTCGGGATTATCCAAAGCTTGAAGGTCTCCATTTTTTCGCCGAGAAACAAAAGGGTTCTCCTCCACTGGATTCAGGTATTCTGTAGGAACACAGAAATATCAGGTAGCATCTGCTTTCAGAAGAACGATAATCATACTAAGGTTAGCTTCTTTGTCTAGAACAGGAAAGCCACATATAGGTGTTCACAAATTCTCAAGCTGTTTGTAGATTACTACTGCTCTATGAAAAAAGGAGTATTCATGACAAAGCAAGGCACTGAGAAGGCCAGGGTCAGAATTCCTGTCCTCTAGATTGCTCTTCTTTCCACCCAATTTTATTTGTCTGTCCCACATATGGGCTGGTTGTGTAAAAGCTTTTATTTTCTGAAAATTGGTAATTTATATTTGAAAAGAAGATGACCTGTCTGAGTTAAACAGCCTTCAATATAGAGGAATTAGAAATTTTATAAAAATATCAAAAAACCAAAACATTCATGACTTAACCTTGTGCCAAAAAAAAGTGGATAAAGTGAAGAATCATGGTTTTAGTCTATGTGATTTTCCAAGAATGCCTATACCATTAACATTTGATTGTAGCTACTCCCAGAAAGCTTTTGACCTAGGAAAGGAAGCAGCCCAGGAAAAATTTCAACTTTTTAATAAAATAAATCTGACAGACATCCTACATGCTTCTAGCTGAGTTGCTTGCTGTTACATACGCACTTGCTTAATAATTATAACATTTATTTCCAAAGTCTAATCATAGTCACAAAAGAGCAAGTCATTAATTTCAATCATATAAAATAGTCATTTTTTATGGTAAAAACAGTGTCTACTTTGCATGGTTCAATCTAATAAATCCATTTAGAGAAAAGGTATTGGCCTAAAACAAAAATAACTCTGATACCTAACACTGCTTTCTCAAGCTGAGTTTCACCTCAAAATCGGTAATAGAGCACAAAAAGACATACATCTAAATATCTACTAGAATTCTTTGTCCTCTCTTTTTACCATACATATAAAAACCTAAGGTATTTGCATTTTGGAGTCAGGATATGGAGAAGGCAAAATTATTTAAGGTATCACCTTTATAAAACAAACTTTCTATCCCCTATTCTTAGCCCAACATGCACAAAATGAAATCCCATTAGCCAGGATTATTTTTCCCTGAATAAACATATGCTTGATAGAGTTCACTGTGTAGCATTACTAGTACAAGCTAAAAGGCAGTTCTGAATATCCCACCATCATGTATATAAATTATAGTTCAAAACGTACAAAACGCTATCATTTCATCCCTACCATAATTCTTGAGCAAGAAAGTGCAAACCTTATTTTTACAGCTTCATAGAGAATTCAGATCTTCTCATTTCTCTTATATAATCTTCTTGTTCTATTACACTGTTTTTACTTTTTCCCCAACAGGAGTAGGGTGAACTATATAGTTAGTAGCAAGATTTAATTTTGAGGAAAAAAAGTATGAAGAACTTACAAGGTAGCTAGATTTTGAATTTTCTTAGCAGATTTCAGAACATTCTTAAAAGTGTAGGAATGCCTATAGTAAAATTCTATACTCTGAGGAGTGGGATAGAACATACTACAATGTTCTGGATCTCAGTGTCCAGAGATAAAATCTGAAAATATTCTTCAGCGAGTCTACATAGACTGACTTACTCTTCTCTTAGTAGCTTATATTACCATTTTTCAACACTATCTAGTTATCTGCTATACTGATACAAACGTGTACAGCTGTTCAGTTTGGGAGAGATCATTCTAGTTGAGGTGACAATCTTCTAAAGAGAACTCTGCTTTCAGTGACTCTACCAAATCTTCACAAAACCTACATTTGTGCCACTTTTGGACAACTCTATACATTAAACTGTACATTCGATAATGTCTTCAGGAATTTCTAAGAGGTATTTTATAAAAGTGAACATAATCATATAAAAATAACACAAGAGGCTCTCATATAGAGTCTTAAAATATGGCTATTGACACTGAAGACTCAGAGAAAATATCATCATTTTTAATATCAGTTATTCATCTCTGTTTTGCAATACTGTTAGCATAGAATAAAAGAGGAACTTGTGTCTTTTTTCTTTTCTCAAAACTGAAACATTTTATTTGGGTGTTTAACATTTCTACCACTAACTTTTACAAAGTCATTGCTGAGCTTTGCAAAACCATGAATCATTCTTTTCAAGACTTGGTGGAATATGGAAGCACATAGAGGGTTAAAACTTTCATTTTGAGAAGTATCATATGAGAAATCATAATTTCCTAAAATAAACTATGTTATTTAAACTACATCATTTTAATGAAGCCACCACATATTTTACTGGTGCCATCAAAAGCTTCAGACACTTTTTGCCAACACCAGCCTTTCTATCCATCACAATAATGGTTCTGCAGTTGTGCTGTGCTACCAAATTCATACATTCCAGTGAAGGTGAGTGCTTCTTCAGCTTGCCTGTGCATACAGATTCCCTGAAGATCCTATTCAGGTGGGGTCTGAGATTCTGATTTCTAAGCAGCAGCATCTAGGTAATGTGCATGCTACTGGATGGTTCAGGAAGAATACCACAAGGGATAGCAGCCTAAGGCTTTTCCAGGTCACAACCTTACACAGTCCAGCTGTCCAGCAGTTCCCATATAATACATTGTAACTTTTGATGGAAGTGAATGTGGGTGGCAATCATTTTCTCAATGTTTGGTCTGTACCTTGTTTGGGTTTGTCTCTCATAGGCGTCATGTAACCTTCTTCATCCAGCTCTCCTCGTGGGCTCCGTTCTGGGGCAAATGCTGTGGGGTCAGCACTGTACCTCTGGGTGCTACTGTCCTCTTGGACATGGGGTTGCACGGGCTTACGCAGGGTGCCATTACAACAGGAGTCGTCGAAAATCTCAGCTGCAGCTCCCTGAGCAACTGGTGCTTCTGGGATTGTGCTGGTTGTGGCCCTGTAGGGCACTGCCATTCCTTGTTCTGCAGCAAAACCCCCATCCCGGTATACAAACTGGTTCTGTTAACAGTAGAAGCACATTTAGAGAGAAGCTGTGGTTAGGAATGGTAGGAAAACATGAGTGCTACCAACCAGAAAGATATCAATGCTCGTCTTTCAAAGGAAAGTCACAGTATTTACTACATTTTTTTTCCCTTAGTGGCTAATGAATTTGAATTACAGACTAGAAATAGTTATAATTCCCATTTCCCTTGGAAGGTAAATCACAGGAAAATAATTTGGAAATATATATATTTTTTAATTTTACTAACCAGCTAAGGCGATCGAATAAAAAAGTATTACATGTCATTTTCCCACAATTTTGCCTATTTTTGATAGAAAAATGCAAAGCGAATTTTCACAACAAATGACTCTAAGAGCAGAAATTACAGTGATACATCTTGCATGGTGACATTTCCTTACTGCTTTTTATTCTGTGGTAACTGTGTCTGAGTCTCCAGTCTGTAACTAGAGAACCATCACTGAGATTCTGCCTTTTTAGCACATGACCTGTAATCATGGCAGTTAAGATAACCTCCTCACCTAGAAGAATAATTTATGAGCCCAGGTAAATCCTTCAGATGAAAGTTGAAGCCACTGATGATGCATGATATCTCAGCTTTGGATTATCTACTGAGATAAAAGACACCTACAAAGGCAGCTACACAGTCTATAAATTCTTAACTCACTGTTGGCAAGGCAAAATGAGGAAATTATGGGGAGATGTGAGAGAAGAAACATGGTAAGCAAAGACCAAAAATCCTGAGGTGAAGGTTGATCATGAAATACTTACTCCTGACATGGGGGTGTAGGCAGGAGGAGGGCTGTGTCCAATTTCACTCTAATAGGAAAGAAAAATGGAATGATGGATATAATAAGAGGCAACATGAATGGAAAATTAAAAAAGAAAAGGAAACGAAAAAGCACATGAGTTGTATGAACTAACGTGGGAAATGTGCACAACAGTGATTTTCCCTAAACATTAAAACTGTATGTATTATGCAAATGAGTGTATTTATGTTTTGAGGAAATTAAATATTTTAATTCAATTCCTGAAAAGGAAAGTTATATGAAAAAAAGAAATTTTTCAATGGATTGAAAATGTAAGTTAATAGTAAGCATTCTTCTAATTAACCCTAGAAGAAAGGAAAAAGCAATCAATAATTAACTATACTTGTAAATGAGATACAGTTTCTTTCTTTACATGCCAAATGACGGAAATAGCCTCATATCATAGCATTAGCTTTTCTCTTAGAAAACAACAACAAAAAATGTATCTAGAAGGTCATAAAGTAGATTATAATATGCTGAAATAATTTGTTATTAAGTTACATTAATTTTTCACCACTTCAACAATGGACATCAGCAATGGATTTCTTAGCCTCTCATTATAAAAAGGTATACACTATTTTATCTTTGGTCTTACTTTATTTTTAGTTAAGAAACAGTGGGAAATTGGAAAAATCAATTCCTTTCTGGGAAATGTGCTTTTACATTTCTTTTATGTGTTTAAAATCTGTCAAAATCAGATTTCAGTGAAAACACCAAAAGACACTTATATTTTTATAGCTTAATAGTCTATCCTATGGACTAAGTGAAAGTGGATATAGAATGTCATAAATTATTAAGAACAATGTTCCTTAGGGTAAGTGAAGGGGTTGTATGTATCTCAATTGTGTTTCTTAGTATTTTCACTCATTACTAAACACGTTTCTTGAGAACCTGCTGCCTACGTGCCAACTCTTTTCTACTTTTCTAGGCACTGGGGAAAATGAAAAATGCAGACAAAACTACTTTATCTTAAAATTTAATTATCTGAAATTCGACTTTATGTGAATAGAGATGATGCAAATATGGCAAGACACCTACATCATTCATGAGAAACATTGCTAAACATTATCTCAGGTCAATATTCACACAATTTAGAGATTCGTAAAATAATCTAAGAAGCATATGGCCCCCAGGAGATTAACCATTTAATGTAAACCAATAACAATTGAACAATACAATCACTCTTAACTAATCTGGTCTCCTGGACTAGTCAAAAGAGAAGTCTGGAACTCCCTAGAGTGTGTTTACATTTCATTACCACCCCAAGTATGATATCATAGAAAGTATATACAGATTTCCTTCTCTTCTAAGTTAGCTAGCTATGCCTTCAAGATTATATCATGGTAAGCTAGCAACATATTTTATATTTGAAGAGTTTTTCTTTTTAAATTCACTTTTTTAAGATATGTCTTTAGTTGTTGATGGACCTTTATTTTATTCATTTATTTATACACAGTGCTGAGAATCGAACCCAGTGTGTCATACATGTTAGGCAAGTCCTCTACCATTGAGCCACCACTCAGCCCCTTAAAATTCATTTACAATAGATATATCATACCACAAAAATCATACCTATTAGTGGATACAATGTAATGTTTTGATACATATGCATGTTGTATAATGTTTAAATTAGGTTAAACATACCTATCCTACACATTCATCATTTCTTTATGGTGAAAGCATTCCAAATCTTTTCATCTAGCTTTTTGAAACGTACAGTACATTATCGTTACCTGTGTGTCCCTACTGCACAACAGCACAAAAGAAATTCTTATTCCTGTCTAACTGTAACTTGTTACCCAGTGTTCAACCTCTTCCTTTCCCTCCTGCTCAGCTTCTGGTAACCATCATTCTACTCCCAACTTGTATGCAATCAGCTAGATTCCACATATGAATGAGATCATACATTGTCTTTCTGTGGCTGGTTTATTTCACTCAATATAACAATTTCCAGCTCCATCCATGTTGTCATGAATGACAGGATTTCATCCTTTTTCATGGTCAAATAGTACCCCATTATGTATATTCACCATACTTTCTTTACCCATGCATTAGTCGATGAAGAATTAGGTTGCTTCTAGATACATATTTAACATGCAATGTATAGAAGTGATATAATGCGTTAAGTAGATTGTTTTATATCCTGTTAGAAATTTGGGCCTCAGTCCCAATTACTGTGAATTTGGTCAAACGTGAAATATCTCAGACCTTAGTTTTTATTCTTGGTCACTCTACTTTGTTCTTAGGCATGACAAAATAGGTTTCTGTATAAACGGACTTCGTAAGCTCTGCATTAGTATATAAATGTAAATAATATACATGTTTAAATATTCACATCAGCTAAACTGAATTTTTAAATTCAAGCATCAATATGCCCAAGCCACTCATCAAAGTCATTTTTAAATGCTTAGCTGTTCTCTAATTATCTTAAATATAGGCATACTTTACTATCTTTTAGAAAGACACAAATAACCTCCTTTATAAAATTTGAGAAAGGAAATTTCAATACAATCCAAAGATTTAGAAAACATTGGGATGATACAAGAACTAAGACAACTGCCTATCAGAACTGATCATATTAAAAACCCTGATTAACTAGTAAGTATTTGACAAATACGTATTAAATCTCAACAATAAAAGCAAAGGCACTGTGGTAGGTGCTGAAGATAGCAGGATGTACTAGAAGAAACATGGCCATTGGTCTTCGGGATTTATACTGTGTTATCAGATGGTACCTGAGACTTTTAGGAGAAAAAACAAGAATGAAATGAGGCTGGAATGAATTTATTTCAATTCTTAGATCAAATGTTAAAAGGCTAGGTATGCCAAAACCTAACTAAATACCATTGTTTTTTGAGCCTTTAAACTTAACTTTAAATCTTGTAAGATTTGTTGTACTGGGTCTTATTCAACTCAAATTACAGCTAAGGAACTTGTACACTTTTCATTTTATAAAACTTGAGAGAGATAAATGATTGAAGGACTAACTCACAAGACATTCTTCAGCAGTTCATTATCTATCTTCATTACCTGGGCCAGAATGCCTTTGATTATAAAGGCATTGTATTAAAAATCACTGTACCTCTATTAGTTAGCCTGCTCCAAGACAGGAGGCTAGGCTGTGCCCTATTAGAATGCACCTACTGTCCCTGCTTTGACAAGTGTCTCAGTCAGAAGCCTGCCAACTCTATCTCTGGACAGCCTGCCAAATAGCATCACAGGAATAGAGCATCTTCTTCATGCTTTCCCCCCGTTTTCCACATTAAAATGGAAAAAATGCTAAGCAAAGCCCCTCAGCATTCATTGTTTTTAGGGGTACTGGCTGCTTTTTATGCTTCTATTTCCATTTTTTTTTCAGTTTGCTTTTTTATCTGTTTTCCATGATAAAAGGCACCTCATTCATTTCCCCCTGGAAGGGCAATGTAGCTCCAAGGGAACATCTGTGAGGCCAATTAGCTGGGCTGGAAATGTGATATAATTGTTGTTTAAATATATTTAAATTACATGTTAATCACTATGTCATAATTTATAGGCTTTGAAAATAACTTTTTGTACTTCAGAGCCAAGCCAGATTTCACTGGTTCTTGCTGTTTTTAGTCCACAACAAGCTCTTCTCATTCCCCTCTCCCTCAATTCCCCACACTCGAGAAGCTGAACTTTTAATATTGGAAGGAATGACAGCTGCAAGTAAATTGGTGGAGTAAAAATTAAGATCCTCACAGCAGCCAGAATGTGCTGGAGTGACCTTAAAGTTCGGAGCAGAACAAAGCGGTGCTCTCAGTTAAAAGGCTTTTGTTTTCCATTGTGCCACTTTCTGCTGTCCATCAAAGCCCAGCTTTGTGGATTTTTAGGAAGCAGCACTGGGTGCATCTGTTCAATTAGCTGGTGAGGGGATTTACTGTCAGCAGGACAGAGTCAGAAAGAGGTGGGTTATGAACTGGCAGGTGATGTGGAGCTTGTTCCTGGTGGGGGGATTTGTAAGGGTGATGATAGAGTTTAATTTCGTGGCCATATCACTGGAACAGTGTGTGATTATCTTAGACTCAAATACCAGAGGTTTTAGAGAAGGGAAGGGTCAATAAATACAATGTTAAATGCCCTTTTTAAAACATCACACCCTAAACTTCACTTTAGACTCAAGTGATAAATATTTGAACTTTTATCTTATTATGTACACACTATTATTATATTGGCATTATTTAATATTTTTCCTTGAGAATTTTTAAATGGTTAAAAAAATATCACTGTGCTCTATGATATTTTTAAACTATCATACAAAATCTATTTTGTTAAGAAACAAAAATAACATGCCTATGACAAATTTCTGTCTAAACTAGACATGTGCTCAGTGAGAGGTATTTATTTTCTCTCTAAATAAGTATTTGCTCTCAATAGTAACTGTAGGATTATCGTTTCTAGGGTCAAGAGATACTCTAAATCCTGTTAACTAAAATAGAATGTGTGTCTGTAGACACTGCCAGTCCATCAGCACGAGTTTATTATCTAGACACTTCCACGTAGTAATACTAAGAGTTCTCCACCTTTATCCTCCTAGGTATATGTCATTAGTACTCTGATGGGCATTTCTACATTTTCACAGGTCAGATAGCCCCATAGAGAAAATATTTTTGCACTGGAGGTGCAATTCTTGATGCATGGCTGTAACTCTATATCTTTCTAACAAGTGAGTTCACATACTGGTCAGTATTCGGAAACATCTAGATTTAGAAGCTTCATTTTTCATAGGACAACCAGAAGAAAACAAACAAAATGTGTCCCTTCCCCTTCCACTGTAATCTCAGCAGCTGACTTGATTGTCTAGGTCTATATCTATCTATATTACACATAGTATCCTTTGTCCATTTACGTATTTATTTAGTAATTAGTTTAATCATCATCTATTTTATTTGATTATGTTGCACTCAACTTTTCTGAGGAGACAATTTTACTCTGCACAGACACAATATTAAGTACCCTGTGATCCACTTGGAGGAATACAGACTGGGGCCT